CATGGCATGGAGATAACAGACCTATCAGATAGTAGAATTGGTATCTTCTTCCCTACAAAGAAGAGAGTCTTAACTGCAATAGTGGGGAGATTTTTACTGAATATGGATGTTTCAGAGTTAGGTCATATGTTCAGGATTTTTTGTTTGTGCCTGGTTGGTACGAACAGCCAAATTTGGCACAATTTGCCTATTGTTGTATCTTTTTTGGCACAAACAGCCATTATTAAGGAACCTGCAGGACCTAATCAGTTTGTATGACATCCAAAGTTAGGTTCCTCGCTGTAGTCCTGTTTAGGAAATACGTAAAATCTACCGTTCCCTTGCATACAGGGGGAATACTCAGGGTATTCTGAGGGCACAAGTGATATGAATACAGCTGTTGTGTGCTATGGGGAAAGAGGGTTTTCAAACTGTTTATGTCTTCTTGCCAGGCACGTAGCTGATTTAAAACAGAAAAGTCTAAACAACAACAAAAAAAGACAACCGTGCCAGCTTTGCAGCTAGGAAGCCTCTTATTCTTACAATGTTTCTTGTGTCATCACCTATTGCCCGGTGTGGTAATCTGGCTACCTAAAAGTACGCTACTTGTTCTTTCCACTCATCCTGAGAAAATACTTCATGCACTTCACGGACTTCAGCCAGGTGTGTGAGTGTCTCTAGGCAAAAGGCTCGCTTAAAAGCCACTGCCCATACTTTCCAAAACATCAGTATTACTACCATTCTGCAGAGTGCTGCTGGTCTTCCTCACCAGTACCCAGATTGATCCTGGAAACAAGTCAGCTCTTCAGAAGCCTATTAATCAGGCAGGCAAGCTGACTTCCTCTGCGATACCACCTGCTGTTAGAAATAAAGGTCACCTGAACACAAAGTTAAATTCACTGTGTGTAAGCAGGTGCAATTTCCCTAATCTGAGAGGAGCATGCGTGTGTGTCGTACCACTGATAAACGTGTCCCCAAAACTCACCCAGCCATTTCAGATGGGAAGTTCCTCCCACCGGCAGAATAACAAGCGATCATCACTGCACTGACCTGGAGACTTGCTACCTGCATCAAGAAATTGTTCCGATTTTCAAAGCTAAAAGTAGAAGCAGTACTTGAGAACGTCAAGTCAAAACGTGTAATGGAAACACAAGGCAGCGTTTAGAGGCATGGTAAGGCACTGAGGGTGCATTTGATCAATAAGTTGCGCTTTGGTGTTGCTTGCCCGTAATCATTCAATCCCCAGAAAAACCGAACAGATGCTGAGTCCTTGACTTAAATTAATTCTGCTCAGATGAATGTACTGTACTCTACTTAAATATGTGTCATTAAGCACTTTTGACAGCTTTTTAGCAGGTGTTCAGCACGAAAAATAGATCAGTTGAGAGAAAGGGAGAGATAAAGAGTAAATCCAGTGTGGTGTGTTTAATGTCTACCTAGTAGTACTGTGGTCCAGCCCAAAAGGGCTTCTTTTAGGAGTGCTGCGGACGTATGCAACAACTCCAGCGTGCTTCCGACTGCTCTGATTCACAACCTTGCTTACGTCAAAGATAACAAAGGTATAGAATTGGTCTCATCTTAGTCCTATTGGAGTCAACCACAAAACTCACCTTGACTGCAACAGAAACAAGATGTGAAATTAAGTTTTCTCTAAAACTGGCAAACAGAACAGGGTACAAAATTGAATCGTAGAGCTGCAGGCTTTTTCTCTGTTAGGATGTGAGCTGCAAAATATATTTGGTAGCTATAACAAAAGCTCTATATGGGAATTTTCTTTTATTTTTAAAATCTGGTTAGAAAATAAGATATTTACTCTGAGATTATTATCAAAAACTGTGAGAGTTGTGTCTATGGAATGGAAGAAATTTATTTCTTGCATATCTAGTCTTTAGTAGTAAATTAATAATAAACCCCTCCCTCCCTCCATCAAACCTATAGTATTATTTCCCCTGCAATAGAATGGTTTTCATTAAAGCAAATTCAGTCAGAACAAGAAGACAGGTATGCACAGGTCAAGATCTGACTTGTTTTGCACAAAAAAAAGTCCTTAATTAAATGGTATAATTTGTGGGAAATGAAATTATGTATAGTGTCAAAGCAGTGCCATGTGGTAGGCTATAGCATCTATCTATATAATAGTATGATACTTACTGAAAAACTATTACCAAATACCTCTTTTTCATTAGTCACTCAAATAGTAACTTGTTGCCAGCCATAAGCACCATTTTTTCCTGCACATTGACTTAGTGGTATTCTTACAACTTTAAGATTTGGATTGAACATCTAAATCTGCAGACTACTGATAATTCAGCAATTAACTTTAAGCTATTGTTTAAAACACATTTAATGAAAATAGTGACATATTTTAGCTAAGAGTCTCTTGAGAGATCTGACTCACAGAGTCAATAAAAAAGCTAACGTTATTTCTGATGCCAAGAGATGATGATTTTCTCTTGTGAGAGGGTTGGGATTTTTTTCCTCATCTATAAAGAAGTTGATATGGAAGTCTCTATTACAGATTGCAGCTAGTTTCTCTTTCAGTAGTGGCAGCTAAACTTTTCTATCGCTTATGATAATAAACATTGAATTTTATATTCCTGTAAATTAAATTTAAAAAAAAAATCTTACACAGTCTCTTACAAAATGGACGTTATCTAAGGTTTTTCTAATCATGAGTATCGATGTGGAAAAATGTTTTTCTTTGACTAATTAAGTGACAGCAATATGAATTCTGTTTCTGCTACAAATTCATTAATGATGTTTTGCAAGCTGTGGTGTGTCTTTCCATTAGTAGGGGAAAAAAAAAAAGTGCATGTACTTTCAGCTGCCTGTAAGCCAGCCTGATCAATGTGCAGCTGTATTAGCTGCCGTGTTTGTTCACACTGGGTGAAAGTGACTCTGTACAGACTACGTATTATTTTTGAGCCGCAGGACAAGTCTGTGAACTACCGAAGTCCTCTGTGGCAGTGAATTACTCTCAGTGTAAGCAGGAGTTTAGGCTGATAAGAAATGATCATCTGTACAGTCCTTTGTATTTTTTTTAACTCTTTGTCTGGGTTATGTGCGTGCAGCCTGTTTATTCGTTGTAGCAAAGTTTTTTGCTAGCAGGAGAGCCACAGTCCCTTGGTGTGAACTCCTGAACTTGAACTGCTGAATGTTTCCTGTGCTTCCAGATTACCCATGCCAAAAAGAAAATCTAAGCTTAGCCACTTCGGGTTAGGTGGGTCCTATAAGCATGGCCCAAGGATGGGAAAGTCTAAATGCCTTTTCCTTTCTGTTGTATCAGCGCGAGGGTGAGTCTCGACCAAAGCTCTACCAAGGAGCTGAGCACCTTTTATTAAGGTTCAAGCAACTCTCTTCTCCAAAGCTTTTGTTGATTTCAGTAAGATGTTTCTACCTGCAAGATCCTGAAGTATTCCATTCTTAAACACACCTCTGTCATTATAATTTACTTTAGACCTCTGAACTGTCAGTGTAATCCTTAAGGAAGCAATTTAGGAAGATTTGTCTTCAGTACTGGTGTCTTTGGTGAAGAAGTTTGTGTGGGTTTTTTTTTTTGTTGTTGTTGTTCTTTTGTTGTTGTTAGATTCAGGCTTTTATTGCCTAGAGAAGATGCTGGGCACGAACCTTTGAAATTAAGTTCTCTGGACACAAAAGACAACGTTGCACAACAGCTGCAAGGGAAGCTCCCTTATTCTGCCGCTTTCTGGGGTGATAAGATTGTCAGAGCTTTTTGAAACTTTCATACTTGGCTCTGCAATGGAGGGAAAAGAGCATCAGTGGTGAGGAGTTTTTGTGTCTGATGCAAGAATCTTTGAGGACTTGTCCTAAAACCTCTGAACTCATGTGAACAGCCGGAGTTCTGCCACTGGCTGAACACAGCTTTTAGTCTCTGAAAAGCTATAGGGAATTAAAAATTAAAATTCAGGAATAAAATTCTCTGGTAGCAGAATCCCATTCCCTTTGTCCAGTCAATTCCACACATGAGAACAAAGCCTTAAATTGCCTGTGAAGAAAAAGTGAAACTTTTTGTGTTATCCCTAATGAAGAAAATGTATTTCTTCATTGCATTTTTTTAAATATGGTAAGAAAATTGTATTGCTCCAGTCAGCTTAATGGCTATTTAACACACACAAATCTCATGATGCTAAAGTGAAAAAGCCAATAAAGAGGGTGCGGCCTGGACAAGTCAATAGGTGCTGTATTGGTAATGCCATGAATGGTCCTCAGGCAGCCCCGCTCTCAGCCCCTCAGCTCCACCTCCTTCAGTACAGCTCACCGTGGGGCCAGTTGGTGAGCCTGGACCAGGGAACTGGTCTGTGTTTTAAAATGATCCTTTACACTCTGTTCTGTTTTTCTTGACTGTTTTTTGGAGGAATATGAGGAGGGATGATGAGCTGCTCAGGATGGCACAATGAAAAAAGCTGTGAAATGAAGTTCTCAGGTAATCTGTCTCTCTAACAGGAATAATCTATTTTGCAGCTGTGATTCAAGTTGCCACAGAAATATGATTTCTTTCGAGCAACGCAAGTAATCTCAGTCTGTAGCTGAATACATTTCATTTACCAGGTTAAGACAAAGCTCTTATCTGAATTTTTTTCTCAGCAATCCTGTGGTTGAAACAAGAGTTTTCCATTATATTTAATCTCGAAAAATGAAGATGTTTACATAACTTTAATTTTTCCCATTCTGTGCACTGAGATAGCACAGAAAATAAACTGTATCTAGGCTTTTGTGTACATTACGCCAAAGTAAAATTTACTGCCAGTCCTGCAACTTGGTACCCAACCGCAGCTAGCTGTGCGACCTCCCTCAGCTTGCAGCAGTGACTTTAAATTATGCAAATCCAGCAGCACAGCACCGTATGGTATTCAGGTTGTGTTATCTGTGGCTACATGAACTGTGTTAGTGTGAATAATAAGGCCCAGTGATTCAGTACTAAGGTATATAAACGCCATTCTTTATTTACCTGGTCTGTGATGCATGCCTTAGGCAACTGTAAATAATGGGGGGTTTCTTACTATTTTCAGGCTGTCAACCTGGGCAGGCTGGGACCATGGGCTTTCCTGGGCTGCTGCTCTCATGTTTTTGAGAGGCGAATTCTGTATCTTCAGGAGCTGCCTTCCTTTTTCAGAGGCCATGCCTTCAGATGATGGAAGCGAGAGTCTGTTTCTATTGAAATCCGCTCCTTGCTGGATGAGGGTGCATTGCAAGCTTCAAAGTGTGGGAAGTTCCTCTAATGTCGCAGTGCAGACTTAGGCTGAGGAAAAGAGCTTGGAGGCATTTTGCTTAATTGATAATGACTGCGACAAGCCAGCTATTTGAATTAACTGTTCTCTTGCCTTGAAAGTTTAACCTGTTTCATCTACCAAGCAGTAAACCACCAGAGTAAAAATAACACGCCATTTAACTTCTAGCTGTTTGTATTTAGGTCTCTGCCAAGGTAGTGTTACTGTGTCTCTAGGAATAACCAGCTGGATAGTGCTGCTACTTCCCAAGGAGTTTCTGCAGACTTTCTGTTCAGCTCCCGCAGATGTTCTTGTTGGGAGACAAAACAGACGAAGATTTCCAATTTTTCCTTTTGATGCATGGATGTGTTGCTGTTTATTGGAGAAGACTAAATCACTGTATCATACGCCAGCTTCACGTATTTCAGGAATTAGGTACTCGGTGGGTTGCCTGTTTGACACAGAGTAGTCACTCAGGGAGTTAGACGTGCCCTAGGAGTAGCACAACTCTTAACCTAACAGTCCCAGGTTCACTTAAAAGGGGAAAGGGAAGAGAGGATACAATCGTTTGAAACACCAGGGAAGCTCATCCTCCTAATCAATGTCTTTCCCTGCAGCTGAGGGTGAAGTGAAATGTTAGCTTGGCAGTGCTCAAGCTTACACGCACAACAACCCAGGACCTGAAACAAATAATAAATCATCACCTTCCTTGCAAGAAAATGATAAAAAGCATTTCTCTCCCAAGGAAGCATTCCACAGCAGGATCAATTTGTTTGTAAAGTGTATAGATTGTTTGTGATGGTGTTGAACTTTGTATAAAGACGGGGAAAGGGCTTCGTGTTACATCAATATTGATGGCTTTGGAGCATCCCTCTCATCAGATGATTGGTAAGCGTCTCCTTCAAACGCTTCCT